TCCCTGTAGCATCTTAACGATTAATTTTCAGCCCTTCCTATGTTTCACAACTCTGCACTTCTCTGATAGCCACATAACTGAAAATGTTGGCCATGCTCTTGTCCAACATCCATCTTTGAGGATGCTCTTACTATCCTAAAAACTGGTCAGAATGCCTCTCACATAAGCATTGCCAGGGTCTCAGGATCTGGATGGCCAGGCACAATGGCTCACACCATGAGACAGCTTAGAAGACTGAGGCAAGCCGACTGCTTGAGCTCAGGGATTTAATGTCAACTATGACAATGTAGTGAGATCCTGTCTCTACCAAAATATTTTTTAAAAATTAGGTGTGGTGGTGCAAGCCACTAGTTGCAACAACAACAGGCAGCTTTAAGAGAGTAACTGCTGCTTCAGCCCCAGAATTTGAGGCAGTCATGAGCCATCATCTCACCAGTGCACTCTGGCCTGGTGAATGCAGTACTTCAACCCAACAATGAAACTGAACATACAATTTTTACATGGGAACACCAGGGGTCCAATACAAAGGGACCTACAAAATGGAAGAATTGATTTGATTAAGAAGCTGACCATCAAAAAATTCTACCAGGAACTTCAAGAAAATTTAAAAGATATTTTCTAGCAAACACAGCATTAAAAGGAATGTTTCCCTCACTGTAATCCCTTCTTTTATTTGAAATTTGAAGCTCAAGTGTTTCTTCACCATAAATCTGGAGCTTATCTAGTGAGATGGAAAGTATTATAAAAGTTTTAAAACAGTAAATATGCCAATGTATGTGTCACATCTATTTTGTTTCTCAAACTTTAAGTTAAGCCTTTAATTCAAATGGCTCATTTTTAGTCATACAGAAATGGCAGAATTCCATCGGGTAGCATTTACCTTGACCTCCCATCCCACTATTGCTTCTAGCCAGAGTAAAAGGAGCAGACTTTTTTGTATAAGGACCTCCACTTCTCAAAGGTGGACATCTTTTAACTGGAAAAGTTCCCCTGTAAGAACTTATCTTGAGATCACGAGTGTATTCACCATCATCTGCATTTCAAACAAAATCTTTTGTTAAGTAACATCACCATTTCTTAAATGGCTAAGCGGTAGATATTTCTAAATCATTCCCACACATCGTATTCTTAAAAATTCACATTTGTCTATGCTAAGGAATGTAGAATATCTATATCAAATCAGTGCCACTCAAAATATCAAAATCCATTTAAACATCTATCAAATAAATACTGAAGAAACACTGTATAGTGCTGTGAGAAAGAAATGTTGGAGAAGTGGAGAATGAACTGAGAGTAGAAGCCTATTGGCTATATATCAANTAACTTATCTAGCGAGATGGAAAGTATTACAAAAGTTTTAAAACAGTAAATATGCCAATGTATGTGTCACATCTATTTTGTTTCTCAAATTTTAAGTTAAGACTTTAGTTCAAATGGCTCATTTTTAATCACACAGAAATGGCAGAATTCCATTGGATAGCATTTACCTTGACCTTCCATCCCACTATTGCTTCTAGCCAGCGTAAAAGGAGCAGACTTTTTTGGATAACGACCTCCACTTCTCAAAGGTGGACATCTTTTAGCTGGAAAAGGTCCTCTGTAAGAACTCATGTTGAGATCATGAGTGTATTCACGATTATCTGAATTTCAAACAAAATCTTTTGTTAAGTAACATCGCCATTTCTTAAATGGCTAAGTGGTAGATATATCTAAATCTTTCCTACACATTGTATTCTTAAAAATCCACGTGTCTATGCTAAGGAATGTAGAATATCTATATCAAATCAGTGCCATTCAATATCAAAATCCATTTAAACATCTATCAAATAAACACTCAAGAAACACTGCGTAGTGCTGTGAGAAAGAAATGTTGGAGAAGTGGAGAATGAACTGAGAGTAGAAGCCTATTGGCTATATATCAAAATATAATCAAACTAAAGAAAAAGAAGTTAGGAGATAAACGATATATTACTGTTCATATCGTTCTGGTATTATGAAAGCTTTTTCAAATCACATAATTAGCATAAACCAAATTATTTATAAACTCAATTATTTATAAAATGAAACAGTGACACCTCAGACAAATACATTATCTGCAGATTTCTTAACATAATACAGAATTCTAAAACTTCCTTTATAATATATTACATTTCCTCTTAGCCTATGCTCAGTTTTAAAAATCTTTAAGAATCATGTATCAAATAATAATTTTTTTACATATGTACAAAAAATCTCAGACCTTGGTGGTGTCACATATATAAACATACACATTCTCCTACATGGCAGAGTATTATTAAACTTCACCCTCAAGATTAATTGCAATCGAAAAAGACAAGAAGTTCTGCCTTTTAAAATGAAACACACACTGCAATTTCAAATTTAGAAATTATATCTCCCATACACTACATAGCTAGTTATTAAAATTACAAATTAATGTTTTTTTAAGGATTTTTGATGGTTGGTTAATAGATAACAGAAGTTAATCAATAGGTATTTTCTTAATATATAGGTTCTTTTTTATTTTAAGTACAAAGTAACCCCTCTGTCCTACTGAGTAAATCAATCTTAAATGCCATTTTCAGAAGCTCTTCCTCCAGCAAAGAAAGATCATATGTGTTTGTGAAGCCAGGGTTTCTGACATTTCTGAGTCACAGAATCTTTTGAGAAACTGAAGTTCTATACTCCATGAATGAAAAATAACTTATGGCAGTCCTATTTACAAATTCTCCATATTAAAAGTG